AATTTGAAAACCGTAATGAGTTTCCATGCGAATGGCCTGGCAAGGTTTGAATTTGGGTTGGCGGCGATAAATTGTGCATATAAATTGCTTTGATCCACAATCAACGCATACAGATATTCCGTGAAAAACAGCTCCAAAAATCAAGGAGGTATGTGAAAGACCAAGATGTACTAGACCGCTGGTACTCCGTTCACCAAAAGGTAGAGCGGCACTAGTACTGGCACTCTGCTGCATATGAGAGTCATCAAAATTTACTGACAAGTGCTAACAGAGATCAGGCCTGATTCTGCGAACACTGCAGTTTTGTGTGCAATGTATCAAGTGACAGTGATCTACTGACACTGCACTTGCTGGGGGAGAAGGGGGGGTAAGCGTAGGGGCTAAACGCAGGTGTTGGCAGGTGCCGGGGCTGATCCCGCTAACGCTGCGTTTTTGGGGACACTATACTAATGTGAACGCTGGTATAGTGCTAGTGCTGACCTGATCAAAAATATTGACCCGTTCAGACACTATACTAGCAATGGAGGTTTATTGTACATGAGCGTACTACTGGCAATCAAGGGGTTAAATGTGATGACTGGTGTACTGACGGGCAATCTGACGCTATCTGGGAGGGGTGTGAAAACCACGGGAGCGCGAATCACGTATATATATATTTGTGATTTTGTGTACCCATGCCGCCCTGTAGCAGTATTTCTGCTGTAGGGTGGTAAGGAAGCGGTTACAGAAGAGGTTTGTGTTACGTTGCTGCGTTACTTTAACTGACAATTGCGCGGTCATGCAACACTGCACCCAAATTAAATTTACATCCTTTTTTTTCCACAAATTGAGCTTTCTTTCGGTGGTATTTGATCGCCTGTGCGTTTTTAATTTTTTGCGCTATAAAAAAAAAAGGCTGACAATTTTGAGACAAAAAAACAATATTTTGGACTTTTTGCTATAAAACATGTCCAGTAAAAAAAATTAAAAAATCAAATTTTGTCACAAATTTCATCCAAAATGCATTCTGTGACATGTCTCTGCTAAAAAAAATCCCAACACGTGTAAATTAATTGGTTTACGTGAAAGTTATAGCGTTTACAAATGGCGGGAAAGATACTGGGATTTTTTATTTTATTTATACTAATAATGGTGGCGATCAGCGACATATTGCGGCGATCAGCGACATATGACGGCGACCAGCGACTTATGGCGGGACTGCGGGACTGTGGCGGACATTTTCACACTGGGGGGGAACTGACTTAGGGTCACTGACATCCCCAGTGACACCAATACAGTGATCAGTGAAAAAAAAACCCCACTGAAACTGTACTAATGTCACTGGGGAGGAAGGGGTTAACATTTTTGTGTTCACTGTGTAAGGGGAGTGTTTTACTAGGGGGAGGGGGTGTGTGCTGGAGGGGGGGGGAGGGGAGGGAGGGGGGAGCTGTTCGAGGGAGAGAAACCCTCTGCAGCTTTTCACAAGCTGAGCAACTGACAGATAACAAGGCTGTGTGTAAACAATGCAGCCTTGTTATCTCTCAGTGATCACAGCTCATCGCGGCCAAAAAGCCGGTAATCACTGGCCGTGACCCGGCGGCTGGGACCCGCTGATGACACCCGCGGCACAGGTAGGGCGTGCACGCGCCTCGCGTGCGCCCCCTACCTGTTTTGCAGAACCGCGTTTTTAAACGTGGTTTTGCTGTTTGCAGTTCTGGTAAGGGTCGATCGAGTGATGTTTCCCATAATCCCTTTCCAGAATCAAAGAGGCATGCCGATCATACTGAAGTTTCCTTAAGAGAAGCTTAACCTCTGAGATTGCCCCAGAATCTCCACCCTCTGAGACAAGGCGGTCAAGCTTCCTCCGCAACTGCTGATAGGCAATGTATTTCTCAAGTTGTTTCTTCTTACCTAGGGCCTTGAAAAACCTGCTGATCCGCACTTTGGTAAGCTCCCACCACTCCGACTTACTGCCGCAGAAATCCAGGATGGTCTCCTGAGCCTGAAGAAAATCCTCAAAGGATCGTCTCACTTTGTAGTGGATTGTGATAGACAGTCCACGTTTTATTAGATGATCAGTAAAATGACAATTTTATAGTCTTGTTACTATCTGCTTCTTGCTCTTTAAAAATTTCTTACTCTCTTAAGTAAACAATCAGATATAGGTTGACAGAACAATGATGATAATTAAGATGGCGCCTTCATCCGGAGTCTCACCCTAGGTGACTCATTAGGAGAAAAGTATCTTTTAATGTAAACAACCCCCATAAAAGGGAATGAGTCTTTTTGGGGAAAATGATTGGAAGATCTCAACACGGATGGAAGAACACGCAGAAACCCTGTGGACTTTTCACCCAATCAATGTATATGCTTTGCCTGCATCATGAGACCTATAAATGATACTGTTAGTTCCTCAATAAAACAGAATTTTTAGGAAGTTGACATACTGCAACAGTGTCAGTGTCATTTCTTCCATGTGCACGTAATTCTATATTAATTTGGCTCACTGGTAGATCACGGTAAATGGTCTGTAAGTGACCGAGTCCAAAACATTTTGGCGCCCAACAGGGGGCCCGGGTTCTGAACACTGGACCAGCCGACAGAGAGTGGATAAGGGGGACCGTGGAGCATTCCAGACGCGGAGATTGATCACCTCCAAAAGCGGTAAGTGAATTTTTATGTCTAATAATTCCTTACCTGCGTAGTCTGGAATTGCCCAGCGGGACTACTCACCCGTCTGGCTGTCCGTTGATCAGCAAAGGACAGGTATACTTGCCCGGGGCTCCTTTGAACCCACCTGTCAGTGTAACGTCATCTACCAGTGTGATATGTCTTGTCTTTTGTGTTGTCTGTGTGTACCAGTGTGATTGGTTGGGTTGTTGTTGATGCGCCTGTGAGGGAGGGGAGAATTACGGCAAAATATTCCTCATCAGGAGTGGACAGGATACACCCTGATTTGAGAGAGGGTGCCTGGAACTCGCAGTCGCAGTAATGGTGACACAAGGGAAATAACCACAGCCAAGGATTGGTCTTGTGGGGGAAAAAAAAATTTTTTTAAACTCCCGACAGGCGTGTCTGAAATACTATGTCATGATCACACTGTGTATGTGGATTAATGTTTGGTGTACACGAAAAAAAGTGAGATTGGTGAAAGTAGTACAGTGACGCTCGTATCTTAGCTCCTGATATATTTGTCAGGGCTCCCGGGTGTGACCAGAGGTGTGTGACTGACGCAGGGAAACGCAGACTTCAGATATGTGATAAACAATATAATTTATTAACACTAACAATACAAACATAAACGCAGTGCAATACTAAAACATAACACAGTGCAAACAAACCAAACCAACCACCCACAGATAACAGTACATAAAAGCAAGCGTCGTCAGGCAGGCCGGGTCAATATCAATAGGGCAGGTAGGTACAGGGGGAGCAAGCGGAGATTGGTCGGGGTCACAGGCCAGGTTCAGCAGGTAGCAAGCAGCGTAGTACAGAGGGTCAGGCAGAGGGATGGTCAGGGTCACAAGCCAGGGATCAGAACAGGTAGCAAGCAGCGTGGTACAGAGGGTCAGGCAGAGGGATGGTCAGGAGCGAGCCGGGATCAGAGCAGGAGAAGTCAGCAGTGGTTCAGATCAGGCAGGGTCAGCAAAGGAACAGAAACAGGATGCAGGACAGATACAGGGCCCAGGACAAACACAACACCAAGGCAGAGTCTGCAGGTCTGGCCATCCCTTAAATACACCAGTATAATCAGTTCCAGGTGTTAGCTGGCTGAAAGGTTGAGTCTCTGATTGCTAGGAGCAACCGCTGGCCAGCCCTGGTACTGCAGATCAAAAGGCAGGTGAGTCCCACCATTGCTGGCCAGTCCATTCCTGACAATATTGCTTTACAGGGTTAATGTACATTACTCTCAGTGGAGCTGAAAAATAGGGAAGTCACTGCAGGAGAAAAAAGGCGGGTTAGTGCTGCGTGGGTTCTGCTTAAACCAACTCACGACACAGCACTTTCAGAACAAGAGAGAGTGACGGCTTTGGGGACCACCTTAGGGTCCTGGGAGGGAAGTAAAACAAAATGGGACAGAAACTTATAAAGCCAGAGAACAGTTTGTTTGCTTGTGAACTGGTGGAGGAGAGAGAGGGACCAGAGTATGTAAAAAAGTTGAGAAAGTTAAACAAGCTGGGTGGAACATGTAAGAATGGTGGGAGGTTGCAGGTGGAGGACTGGAGAAAGCTGTGTAAAGAGAAGAAAGGGCTTCTAATGAAGCATAACATGTTAAAGACAGCAGAAACTTGGGCCCGCGCCCTACATCAGGAGGGGTGGGTGTGAGCAAAAGCTGAATCAGGACGGGGGAGTTGTATATGTATATTACAGGAAAGGAGATGCGCCCGGCAAGGCGCCGCCCCCCTATGATGATGGCCCGTCCTGGAGGTGCGAGGCATGTGGAAATACAGGAAGGCCCACCCCGAGAGTCCAGATTTTTGCATACCTTGTAGTCAGAACCTCCGGATATGTAAGGGGTGTTCAGTTAAGAATCCGGGGTGGGAGGAGATTTGCAAGGGATGTGACCGGAAGCTGACTATGCAACATCCGATGCTTCCAACTCAGTCACCTCCATTTCCGCCTCCGGCCCCGCCCCTTCCGCTTCTGCCCTCATCAAAGATGGTGGCGCCAAGTGAGGCCACCAGAAGCCATGTTGATTCTGGGCTTAGTACACCGATACACCATACACACCTCATGCCAGCTGCCCCCCTTTGCCCAGTGCTTACTGTCTCTGGCTCCCAACCACCTTCGGCCCTCCACACACCCCTAATGCCTGTAGTACCACCACCACCAAAACAAACAGAGGCTTCAGACCAAGTTGAACTGAAGACACCCACAGAATGGCCGGGCTGGAATTTTACAGTGTGGTGACCCCTACATCTCTGCCAGACGTAAGAGGATGGGCTCAAGAAAAGACAATGGCCGTGGCAGTCCGCCAGGGTACCCGAGAGGATGATGCTGTTTCCATTTGTTCCCATTCTCAGAAGGCCATGGTCCAGAAAGCAAACCACTTGTTCAACTTCCCCCAACCACACAACCCCATCATCAAAAATTATCTATGTATGAGTCTGGAATGGGAGCAGACTTAGCACCTCATCCCTTTTCTTTCACTTACCACAATCCTGTCTATTGCCCCCAAGGATCTGAAGAAGACCATCCCTGCCCAGCGCCCAACCTACCTGATGCTCCTATCATGTATGTGGCCTTCACTCCATCCCAAGCCTCCGCACTAGTCACAACTCTCCCGGACCCGGAGAAACACCTGATGCCTTTTTACCGGCGCATAGCCCAGATCCACAAGACCTATTCCACAGCCTGGAGGGATTTGGTCAGTCTGTGTGAGATCAAGGCTGGGGATGCATATTGGCCTATAATGGAAAAGGACCTCACCAGAGTAAAGCCAAGGACACCACTTATGCCTCGGGAATTTATTTCTGTGACCAGTTGCAGCAGTGGGCCAGAGAGAGACTGGCGGACCAGGCCACCACATTGCAGGACATTACCCAAGACAAGACTGAGTCGGTGGAAAAGTTCCATACCAGACTAACACAGGTGTTTACAGACCTGGGATTCAGTGTCCATAACAAGGTACATACTCAAATGCTGACCTCTGCATTTGTATCAGGACTAAAGGAGTCTGTTCGCAAGAGTTTGATCACTGCCCATCCAGAGTACCGTACCCTCCACCTGGATATACTGCTATTAGTGGCAAAGGGTCTGGAGACCGCCCAGGTGGCCCGGAAGCCGACACCACTCATGTTGTCGGCTGGAGAGCAGGTCTCCAGAAGAAACCCACTTATTTGCTTCAACTGTGGAAAGCCAGGACATTTCAGAAGGGAATGCAGAGCTCCCAGACGTTCACGACGACTCAATGATTACAACTCAGGTTGGTAAGAGTCTGCAATGCCACCTCCTCCACCGCTTCCAGGACCCCCATGGACAGGTCCTACCCAAGAACATCTGAACCTTCTCCAATAGGACAGGGGCAAGCCTGTGTCCACTCCCCTTATGACAGTTTCTTCTCATGGATATTGTGCTAGTAGGCCCCTAGCAAAGGTCACTGTCCCCATTGAGGGACATCCTACACAATTCTTAGTGGACACAGGTGCAGCCAGAAGTGTTTTGCAGAGAGAAGATTTACCCAATGAAACATACCTCTCAAACATTGATGTTTCCTGCGTTGGAGTAGACAGCTGCCCACAACGCAGTTGGCTTACAAAACCTCTACATATCGGCACCTTACCCAATCTTCTGTCTCGCTTTGTGGTGTCAAATACTTGTCCGTTGAATCTGCTGGGAGCTGATGTCTTGTCCAGGTTGCAAGCAACTATATCCTACCAACCAGATGGCACCATTCAGCTCTCCACCCCCTTGGGAGAGGAGGACACCTCAGCTCTATGTTCATTACCACTGATGATGTCTCTACAGGAAGTTTCAGGCCACCCCTTGCCAGACCATGTAGAACAGGCCTTACAGGAGCTGCCACTCACTCACTCTTTGGTCCACCGGCCCTGAGGATATTGGCCATCTGAAAGTAGCTCCAGTGTTAGTCCAGCTTAAGCCTGGAGCACCATTGCCACGGAAGCCTCAATACCCTCTGAAGCAAGCCCAGATGGACGCCATCTCCAAACAAGTCAATATACTTCTGGAAAACGGGGCATTAATTCCCTGTGTGTCCCCATGCAATACACCCCTTTTCCCAGTGAAGAAAAGAACTCCAAAGGTTGAGCCCACCAAATATCGCATGGTTCAAGATCTGAGAGCAGTCAATGAGGCAACTATTTTGGAAACCCCCATTGTACCAAACTCCCACACCCTGCTTGCAGGGGTACCTCCCACAGCCCAAGTGTTCACAGTTATTGACTTGGCAAATGCCTTCTTCAGTGTTCCGCTGGACCCCTCCTGCACGTACCTCTTCGCCTTTACCCATGCTGGCCGACAGTATACCTGGAGAGTTATGCCCCAAGGGGCCCAAAATTCGCCAAGCCAATTTACAAAGGCCATGACAACTATCCTCAGCACCAGGCAACAGTCACACCCGGAAGTCATAGTGCTCCAATATGTGAATGACTTGCTCCTATATGCCACCAACCACTCTGAAGGAAAAATCGCCTCTCTGAGCCTCCTCCACCACCTGGCTGAACAGGGCTGCAAGGTTTCTAAGGACAAGTTAAAGTGGTGCCAAACTTCTGTCATTTTCTTGGGACATTGCATTTCCCAAGCCACTCGTCACCTCACGCCGGATAGAGTACGGGCTATCCAGAATGTCCCAATACCTCAGGGACCAAAGACCCTGCATGCTTTTCTAGGGTTGGTTTCCTATTGTCGTTCCTGGATCCCAGAAGCCTCCATCTTGATGCAATCCCTTTTTGATGCCCTGAAATCTGAACCCTTTTTCCTGACAGAAGAAGCTGTACTTGATTTCCATCACCTGAAAAAAGCCATCTCCACTGCACCTGCCAGATTATGATGAGCCCTTCAAACTTTTTGTGGCTGAGAGACAGGGTCATGCAACAGGAGTTCTGGCACAATGCCATGGGGGTCGCCTCCGGCCTTTGGGTTATTACTCCTGCAGGCTAGACCCGGTTGCACGAGGTGGTCCCTCCTGTCTGAGGGCTGTTTTTGCTGCTCATCTTCTCCTGGATAAAACGGCAGATTTGGTCTTAGGACATCCACTCACACTTCTGGCCCCCATGACATTACCGCAAAATTCTGAACCAAACCCAACCAAAACATCTATCTGCCGCCAGGCATCTGCGACTGCAAGGCTCCCTTCTTTTACCTGATCATGTCACCCTGGTCAGATGCACCCAGATAAACCCTGCAACTCTTCTCCCTCTTCCAGGGGGGGGTAGAAGAAACAGAAGAAGACACCGAAAACATGGCACCAGAGGATGTGGTACATGACTGTTTGGAACTTATGCAGGCAGAAACTACACACCTACCAACAGTCCATGATACGCCCCTATCAAATCCTGACCTAATACTCTTTGTGGATGGATCCCGCTTTGCAGATAATGCTGGCACCTACCACACTGGACATGCTGTGACTACCGACACAAATGGTACTGCAAGCTAGACCTCTTCCACCTTTTATGTCTGCACAAGAGGCTGAACTAAAGGCCCTCACCAAAGCCTGTGAATTAACAAGAGGAAAGACAGCGAACATTTACACGGACTCCAGATATGCACTGGGGGTTGCACTTGATTTTGGCCTAATCTGGAAAATGAGGGGCTTTCTCACGGCAGCTGGGACTCCTGTAAAGCATGGAAAGGCGATCAACCGCCTTATGGAAGCAATCTTACTACCAGCCCAAGTGGCCATACTGAAGGTGAAGGCCCACGGTAAATTGACCACTATGGAAGCAAAAGGAAATCATCTGGAAGACATGGCTGCTAAGCAAGCTGCGGTCAGGGAGCAGAAAGAGGATGACGAGATGTGCAGTGAGGTGGTGCCTGTGTTAATTCATCATCCCAAGGACAACCAACTCCAGGAAGCCCAGGATAACACTTCAGAAGAAGAAAGGAAGGAATGGATACAGAAAGGAGCAGTTGAGGACAAAGGATTGTGGGTGGTGGGGAAGAAGGTTTTGCTTCCCAGATCCTTATATCCGGCAACAGTGCAGTGGGCACATGGAGCGTCACACCTGTCCAAGATGCTAATGAACTCTTTGATCAGTAAATACTATGTGGCACCCGGAATTACGGCTTACACAGACAGATTCTGTAAGTCTTGTGTTGTATGTGCCAAGTGCAATCCTGGAAGACCTGAGAAACCTCCAAGCAAACATCTGGCCAGGGCATTATATCCATTTCAGAGGATCCAGATAGATCATATCCAGATGCCAAAAAGTGGATGATTTGAATATGCCCTAGTGGTGGTGGATATGTTCTCAGGACGGCCAGAGGCGTTCGCAGTAACCAACCAGACGGCAAGAACCACTGCCAAGAAGCTGTTCACGGAGATAGTCTGCAGATATGGAGTGCCCGAGGTGGTTGAAAGCGATCAGGGACCGGCTTTTACTGCCAATGTCACAAAAGAGATCTGGGGGGCTCTGGGGGTCACACTTGCGTTTCACACACCCTATTATCCCCAGAGTAGTGGGAAGGTAGAGCACCTAAATGGGGTCCTGAAGTCAAGAGTGTTAAAAATGGCCCAAGAGGTAGGCATGGGATGGTTAGACAGCTTGCCTATTGTTCTTTTCAGTGTTAGATACACACCAAGGGGAAGTCATGGGTTGTCTCCCTATGAGATTTTGTTTGGGTCCACCCCTAGACTGGGTACCTACTATCCTCAACAATTACAATTGCAGTCTGACTCATTGACATGAGTATGTGATATCTTTGACACGTGTGTTGACTAATATCCATGCGCAAGTTTTCTCCTCCATCCAGATCCTGAGTCGGACACTGGAACGCACACTTTGCAACCTGGAGACTGGGTCTTGGTCAAGAAGTTTCTGTGGAAACATACATTGGAACCCAGATATGACGGTCCTTTCCAGGTGCTTCTGGTGACGGCCACCTCAGTGAAGCTAGAAGGAAAGAGTACCTGGATCCACGCCTCTCACTGCAAGAAAGTTGCACCCCCAGAAGACAACTAGAAAAATGAGACTAAACACATATATCCTTTTGTATGTGCTTTGGGGAATGGGTAGGGGACAAAGAGTGCCAATCACAAGGTGTCAGGGCAGGAGCAGAGGAACGGACAGGCAGGCCTAACAATGTAACGCACTGGCTGATGACAACCACCACCCACAGACCGAAGTCCCCCAGGGCGCGGAGTCTAAGTCCCAGGCTGCCCTTCACCAGGGCCCCTGATGGTGGGGATGGACTTGACGCAGCCAGGAACCAGGTCGCGGCCCCCGAGACACCTCAGCTGCGGTAATGGCCGCCGCCAATGGCGTGTAGCTGGTGGAAGAAACAAAAGAGTAGTCAGACAAGCCGGGGTCAACAACAACAGAACAAAACAGTACAGGACAGCAGACGAGAATCACAGGTCACAAGCCGGGTTCAGCAACAGAGGGTCAGATCAAAGGAGAATACAAAGAATAGTCAAGTCACAAGCCGAATCAGATACCAGGAGAGTCACAAGAGTCAGAACAGAGTAATAGTAACACAAAGACACAAGACACAAGTGCAAAGAGCATGTGCGGACCACAGGCTTATATGTCATCAGCCACGCCCCTCTGGGGGGTGGACCTCATAGACTAAAGACATAAAAAGGATTCCCATCATGCACAGCAGAATCCAAGATGGACGCCAGCACATGGAGTAACATAACCTCAGGGAAAAGGTAGGACCTTGACAGTACCTCCTCCTCAAGGGCCCCTCCCCCTCCGCAGCTCAACAAAAGGTTTCTGAGGAAAGCGGGTATGA